TATATATATATGGTTTTGATTTCATTGGGACCGCTAAAGCGGGGATTATACTTGCAGACGCGTTTCGCGTGACGGTCTAAGTAAAAATCATTCACCTGTGGCACCCTTTCGGTGTCTAACTGGCATGCCACCCGAAGTGAGCACGAGGGCTAGGGAAGTCGAGAGGCAGAGGTCAGGTTCGAACCAAGGACCTTCCGGTCAGTAAATCCGTGCACTAACCACTGAGCCATCCAAACCGGTGCGCAAAAAAGTACACCATTCTCCTTGCATCAACATCATCAGCATGACATCAGCGTTCAACACTGATGCTTCACTGCCGTTTAAACACCTCATTGGAGGGAAGCTTGACGACTTTAAGCTGTTTTGCATTTACCAACACCCTTCATCAAGAGTAAACCTCGAGTATCACAGTACATATCTAAATTCTTTGCAACCTCAGTCTGCTATGCCCAGAGACGACAGATGATTATCAGTTCGTCGTTGAATACCGCTCATGAAATTTTGCAGCCTGAGCCACGACAACAGAATGACTTTACCGTCTTTTCCTCCATGAAGTCATCCGTCTCTCCCGGATAAGGGCAACAGTGTGCGCCTCGACAAACCATAACGGTTTTGATATCCCATCAAATGATTCAACTAATTTTCGATTCTACAAAGCGTGTCTCAGATAAGACTAGCTGGTACCATTCGAAACATTGTGTTCAAACAACTTTCGATATGAGTGACCACAGTAAATTTCGAGAGGAATCCTGTAGTTTGCCCCTGAGTTCGATTTAGACTTAGTTCACCGAAGGTGGATCTATTACCAATAACAATGAACAGAGCTATTGGTAACTGGAGCCAGACCCTCCGGATATGATAAACAGCATAGCTTACTCGAGCCTCGGGCTCCCCTCGGATTTCCAAGGCTTTATGACGAATGCTGACAGGAGAATTATTCAGTGACTAGAATCTTTGTTGAAATTCGTGGCCCCATTTAGTTTGGGCGGAAACTCCGTAAAACTGGATTTAAACATGTGCTAAAGCAAAAATTCGGAAATAAAAAGTTTAGACTAGCCCATCGATGACAGTTATCGTCCCCTTCGAATAATTGAGACCCCAAAAAAACGATCAAAGTGCGACAAAAAGCGTGGCAATAACAGACCTGACACCAGGATGTTGAATGATCTTTTTGATTGCGCCACACGGAAGAGGACCTGCAGAGACAGAAAGTGTGTGTGAGTACAAGTGACCACAGTTAAGATCGAAACGGTGTAACACAAATCTGAACCAATAAACAGATAATTTGTAACCCAATACGAAGTCTAGCAAAGTCTTCTGGAAGCAGTGATGGTCAAAAATCAGGCACATTTAGTTCAGTAACTGAATAACAATCGTAATTACACCACAAGAATGTGGTTGCATTAAGTTTGGCGCAGTGTCGATCATAGCAATTGGTTCACATGGAGTCAATTAATTCAAAAACACAGAGCAGTAGTCTACAGTCACAAGAACGACGGAGCAAAAAGGGGAGACTAGCTGTAGACATAGTGGAACACAGTGAGGCAAAGCGGTGTGAAATTCAGCTAAAAAAAGAAGCCAAGAAGCAGTTATATATAACATTACTCAAGAACGTACTGGTTCAGAAATCAAGCAGTCTTGAATGTAAACTATGGACGAGATAGTTTAAGTAGTTAGAGTGCCCAATCACTGACCGGAAGGTCCGTGGTTCGAATCCGACCTCTGCCTCTCGACTTCCACTGTCTAGGCTTGGGCAACCTAGCGGTACCCCAGACCTCGTGCGTCATTCTGGTAGCATGGCAGCTAGGCACCGGAAGGGTGTTACAGCTGAACGATTTGTTTACGAATGTAAATTATTCAATTCAAAGGGAAACCAAAGGAATGCGAAATTATTTTAAGCCCAATCAATCTCCGTAATAATGACCTTAGAGAACGGTTAAGCATTAGATGACAAGTAGACAGTAGGGCATTCATTGTCTGCGTTTTTGCAGTACTACCGAAGAATGCATGGAAGACTTCAAAGGGAATTGACGGGAAATACAAGGCTGATATAATCCAGTATGGAAATCTGTGATACCGCTACTTGAAACCACAGATAAACAGACAGCCAATATATGAACTGTTTTCCTTATAAAACAAACCCAGTACTGGTCCGTGATGAGCATACAAAGTTAGGGAGGAACTGGGAACAAGAAGTTTTGTAATAAAAAGTCTATACCCTCGCCAGCCTCGTGCCCGAGCTACCTGAGGGAGACAAAGAACGTGCAGCCAAAAGGTAGGTAGACGTATGATGCATTTGGAACGGACATATAAACAATGCGTCAAACATTGGCCCCAAGTCAGTCAGATAGGTTCTACGAACCAAAAAAGTAACGGACAACTTGTCGACCAACAAAATCACATCGATAACACAGATATATGCCAAGTGACAGGTCTGAAAGCACAAACTACGAATCCAACTGTCTAGGTCATTGCTGCAGACCAGCCAAACGAGGTTTGATGAGAAAAAACTAGTCAGTTCACTGGATATAGAGAAGCCTAATCATGATAGTCTCACATAGATAACGATTCTCTGTCGTTTGAAGGGGTTAATAGAAAATCAAGTATAGTTGATTCGATGAACTACCTCTACAAGCCAAGTTGAAAGCGTTTTATTAATCGTCAAACGGGTTGCACTGCTGGGCAGGCCAATGTGATGTGTGGTGAGAATACCGGCTAAATTAAGCCAAATGCTTTGTGAAAGTATAGACAGATAGATGAGCATAGGATGCTGTGTCAACCCATCATAAACGAGAAATTCACTTGAGTCTCCCGTGAAAACGAAATTGATTTGCAAATGAGTGTATTTGTCGAAATCAGTCCACTTTGGCCTCAAGTAGAAAATAAGGTTGAGGGAAACTCGGGGACTGCGCCCACCTGATGAGCCCCAAGGGCGAGAGAGGTCGTGGGCTGTCAAAGAGTTTTCAGCAACTAGGTGAATAGTTTCCTTTATGAAGGCAACCGAACTTACTCCCTTTTTCGTTAAAGAAACAAACAGAATAAGTTTTGTGTGCTTCAAACACAGAAAAAAATGCGCTCAGTCATAGCTTCAGAGGCTTGAGCGGCTTTCGACCGAATGATTTCATCTCAGAGAACTTTTCGTCCCAGCAGAGCATCAGGCGAATGAGCCAAGAAAGGCCAGAGTCTCATTAAATGGAGATTTCGTGATACGGTACGACAGTCATAGAAAAAAGCGATTCAATCGAGTTCCTGCGGCCGGGAAATCGGCCATTTCTATTTGGTCGATAAATCAATAGTATCATGGCCACAAAAGCCAGTGTAAGTTGGTGAACAGCCCCTGACTGATGATTGTGATCAACCGGGATGATCTGAAAGGCCAACAAAAGAGGACTTAAGTCCGCCGAAGGACTAGACGAGATCCTGTATAATGGACACAAACAGCACAGAAAGTGTTGCAGTTCCAGACAACAGCGAAAAGCAACGCGTGTGGAAGGGATCATTTTCCTATTTAGGTTTAAGCAACAGCCACAAGCAATCGTTCATCAATTGACGTGCTCTAACCGATCAAACACGTTTGTACTCAGCGTCCAGAATCGGGCGAATTAGGTCTAGCAGAAAGGAACGGGAAATTGTTTCTCCACATCGAGAAGTGAAATGGAAGTCTTGTTTAAGCACCTGGCGAACCTCCAAAAAGAATAGACAATAGAGAAGGGATGAGTACTCCAAACATCTGCGAATTACAACCAGCTGTGTCATCAAAGTAGGATGCGAAGTACAGGGGCAAGGTCCACAACGATCTGGTGAATAGGATGAGCACCGAACGAGGTTATTGAAAGACTCTTCGAAAGGGTTGTCGGCATTACCATGAAAACGAAGAGATGTAGCTTTGTGGACTGATGGAACATCCTTCCTTACGTAGAACCCAACTTTCACGCTCCTTATTATACAAAGAGCTTGAAGGGTTTTTCTAGTGTATCGTTCATCCGTCGATATTCGTTACCGGAATCAGACTTGGTGCGCATTATCGCGATAGCAAGTTCGCCATTGCAGCGGCGAGTATCTGCGCAAGGATACGTTTTCGTGTGGCTGACTGACATCGCCGGAGAATAAGACACATACACATAAGCCACTACTGGGGATCTTACGTTGCTTGCGATGACGAGAATTGGGTAGTGCATCGGGATAAGTGATCAGTACTACCAGGCAGTGAGAACTTCCATCGAAGATGGTCTCTGACAAATATCAATGAATGACCAATTCGTCACGTGAACAAAGGCTGGAGGAAAAGATATACATCACTCTAGTAATTTAAGTCACAAGTGACGTGGTCCAGCGTGACGGGCAGTCGCAATAATGCTCGAGTGGAACATAACATGGATATCCTATGATGATTCACTACAACGCTTAAGATAAAAAGTGTAAGCCTATTAGCAGCAGATATTTAGTGAAGTGGATAGTGTCATGGAAAGCGCGGAAGTAGAATCATGAAAGACATCGAGCTAGCTACAAGCTTCACATGAGTTTGCACCAGTCGAGAACCATATGCCACTGATAAAATTGCGTGAAATGTTGCAGTGGGTAAAATAGTTGTTTCGTCCTGAGGGTGCTTTACGTGACAGGAATTTCGTTTGCTGTGTAAAACTGACAAGTCCAATACTGGGCAATGCCAAACCTCGACCTCACAATACCACCCTTGCGCACGGTAAGTTTTTTGTATCAAAACGGGCGGGAACATACGGCACGAACATACTGGAAAACCGAACAGTTCAACAAAGTGAAGTTAATCAGAAGCCGCTGGTAGTGCCTAGTGGCGGGCATGCGTAAACAGATGGAGTGGGCTCAGTGGTCACAGCTCCGCAAGTCGCGCGCAGACGCGTCGATAGTAACTGGAAAATAGGTCGAATGGTCTGGAATCTATAATCCCACTCGGATCACTTAGTCCTTAAGAGACCATTTCTAAAATTAGATGCACTAAAAGCCCCATATGACGAGGTACCCATTAAGCCAGTTTGCACATACCCAAGAAGTAACCGACACAAATAAGGAGGACAGATTGGGCTACATTCGTCATTCGGTGTTCCAGACCATACGAGTGTAGACTCCATACCACTCATGCGGTCGACGAAAACTCTAGACAACCTGCTATTAGTTTGGTTCTTGTTGGGGCTCATCAAGTGGGCCTAGTTCAAGACGTTCCAACACTCTTGTTTCGGGGTCATTAACCAAACTGTGGCAAAAAATATTCACATAAATCTCTCAGCTAGAAGTGTAGTCAACAAAGTCTGTCAAAATCGGGGTAAATTCAGGGACAGGTGGAAACTGGGTACAATAGTTATCAACTCCAGAGGGAAGAAGACGACAGGTGAATAAGACTCGAGAAGTCCTTACCATAATGAATGTAAGAGAGTGAACAACAACACATGCACACGCGAATACGTACCATACGGGGTTGTTGGTGGATCTCGCTTCGCCACAATTATGGGTTCTAGCAATTCTTCACTGGTAGCGGCAGCGGTGATCGGCCAAATCTGGTATGCTCCATCACCGTATGCCACAGTGATCTCATTGGACTGAACCTCCGAAGCCGTTACACGCCAGGAAGCCCATTCCACAGGTTGATCACGGAGCAACAGGTGACTGATACGTGGAGGTGGGGGGACAGGAAGTGGGGGTTCAGCTTCCACCTGAAAAGGATGAACGTGATAAATAGCTGAATTCAGAGCGATCTGTGGAAGACATCTTGGGTGTTCGTCGTAGAAAGCACGGAATGGAAATAGCTTACAGTTATCGCACGGTTTTCAACTAGGTATGAAAGTATCTGAGTACGACACGAATGTATAAGCAGAGTTTAGCGTTCTTCACTTGACTTAACACTTGCAAGCAACGTCCAAGTCTGACCAAGCCGAACGCGGAAGAAATTTCGGCAAAATTCGGGTTTCAACTGGAGGCCCAGTGACAGGCGAAATTACTTGTGTGTGCGTGTGTAAACGTAACCTAAACGTCGAAAAAGTTGCGTGAAAGGCCTTGTTATTGACTCAGGAAGTGGGTTAAGCTGTTCTAATACAGTTGCCACGATGGCCAGCCAAGTCGGCTTTATATGCAATTGTTCACCTGTATCGAAGCACTCCTGGCTCAAGAGAACTGGAAAGTATCAAAGGTTAATGCAGGGAATATGAATTTAAGCTGCTTTTGATTTATTCAAAGAAAAATCTATCTCGACTATAGTGGAAAAGATAAGAATAAGACAGCCCAATGATTAGCTTACTTCAGGTTTCGTAAGGTCTAGACGTCGCAAACTCCGCGTGAACTCCTTCAATTTTATGGTCGTGCGTCTTTCCGACGATTCCTTGGCAGGAGTGGCGGGTGCAGGCTGTTGCGTTGGTTCGGAAGGCTGAGCAGAAGCAGATGCGGCCGCTGCTGATTCGGGCTCAGGATTCGTGACTTCATGAGTTGAGCCACCTTCGGCTGAAGTTTGCTGTTCATTCATGGTGACCCCGGGTTCTTCAACGATGGGTGTGGTCGCTTCCTGTTCAGCTGTCGGAGCAGACGGCGTAACGTCTGCGGTCGGAACCGACTCGGTACCAACGTTTTCTGGAATGGTTTGAGGAATAGCAACTGCAACGCATCCACCAGCATAGGCGATGAGCAGGTGATTACCCTCAGGCTGTAGCTGCAAGCTGACGATCGGAGAGTCCACTCCTAACTGTTCCCGCTTGTCCACAGGAACGCTTTAATCGAACATAAGTGAATTCAACAGGAAATGGAAATATAAAAGCTTGCCCACAAAACACAAGCCCAATGCAGCAAAGTGTCTAATTAAGTTAAACTATAAACTAGTTAAACTAAACTATAAAAACTAAAACTATAAACTGATAGGGCCCAAACCGAGCACTTGCGCAGTGAAATATAGGTTTCACTAAAGATGTTGTCGATGATGAAAGGAAATAAAGAACTGGGATAGAGAGCACAAACTACCAAACTAGGCCAATCGAGACAGAACCTAAGGAAACAAGGAGCTTACCTCTCCGAAACCATAGAACTGGTACATGAGGTGAGTGAGTGGTCACCAAGTGACAAACGCCCATTACTGATGGCGAGTTGGTAAAGTGTACCAGTGGATGATCCAACATAGACAATGCCATGACCCAATGCCAGGGCGGTGATTTGTTCTTGGTCCCTGAATTTGTGTGCGAGATAAAAATAACAACTAATTAACCCGAAAATGGCTACAACAACAGAGCTGTTGCCAAAAACGTGTGATTCACACAAATCAAATTTTCGGTACAGTGCATTTGAACAGTACCTAGAGCAGCAAATTCGGTTAATAGTCTGCTCCAGGACAAGCCAGAGGACAGTTGAACAGGCAAGCGAGTGAGTTGGCCGTGTGCCAATGATCGTGGGTAAAACAGGCGAAATCAAACAGAACGTGTGGACATTACCGGTAGTTGGCTACGTAGCTCAGTGGGGGAATCAAATAAAAAATACTCTTAAGAGTATCAAATCCCCGGATTTACGGACGAAAACCAAAGGATAATGTGCAGGGCTGAACACGTTACCATATTCACTCAACAACAAGGAAACCTTACCATAATGAGGAACTATCCAGGTACGCGCACGGTGTGCAAAAACAGCCAGCAGTTACTGGCTTGCGACTTACACTCAGCGAGTCCAGAAAATAACCCGACTGATAACCGCAAATCTCCACAAACTGAGTATTCAGGTAGGTCATGAAAGCGGTGGGAGACTAGGGAATATGCCAACCTGACGAGCCTCGAACAAAGCGGAGCCGGACTACCGAATTACCTTTGTTGGCCTCGTAAATGGTGCATTAAACTTCAATACCCCCGCCAGAACAAGGATATACCTTTCCTAGAGTCAAGTAGACGAGCATTTGTTGATTCTAACGCAGCCCAATTCGACGAAATCTCAGGAACCAGATGAAACCGACAGTGGCAACTGACCAAACTTTGGATATTGACCGATACAGATGAATGAACAATGTTGAAAGCATAGGAAAACCATTTCGGCTCACGAAGCCTCTTGGAAATGCCCAGTAAATGAAGCCGAAGAGGAACAAAATATCCTTCGGGCCTCAAACGTAGAACACTGGAAAACCGAACTGAACATTTTGAATAACCATATAACTGGGTTACCAGCTTCTGCTGTCGTATTGTCCAACGCTCGTGGAATAAGGAATAGTGAATGTCGCACTGTATTTGGCCTTGGAGACATATGGACATCCCTCGTCAGGAGTGTTCTGATCCCTAAAACCACCCGAATGCTCTGCTCAGAAGCAGGCGAAGCGTCTTCAATCAATGTCGAACCTATTGACGTCGATTCCGAATAAGTTTATCCCAACTGATCGTACAGGGTACACCACAGCCAACGTACAAAACGAAAGGCCATGATGAGAACGCCAAATTCCGTTGTAATAAAAGTTCAGAATTACGTCTCAACACCCTCACCATCAACTGCAGAAGAGCAAACCCTCGACTCCCCTGCCGTACAACCACAATTTACTTGAATGCCTTATCATTATCAAATGAGTGAAAGCAGCCGAAGAAATTACCCAGTGCTAGCCCACCACAATCATAATAAAATAACGATCATTCAGCTGTAACACCATTTCGGTGCCCAGCTGCCATGCCACCCGAAGGGAGCACGACGGCTGGGATACTGTCAGGTTGCCCAAGCCTAGACAGGAGAAGTCGAGAGGCAGAGGTCGGGTTCGAGCCACGGACCTTCGGGTCAGTAGATTCGCGCTCTAACCACTCGATCCGTCCGCTGCTGCTTCCACCACAACCATGCACGTTCCCATTCATTCACACAATCCGGATAGAAGCTGACGGTCACGCCAGTGCCACCAATTATCAGTCACATCTTGCAGCGTTTTCAACCACGCGGACTCCAGCCCGGAAGATGGCTCACACCGAGAGTACCCAGGTTTCCTTGATCGCTCTCATGGCCTTCCGCAAGGTCAAACATTGACCACCACCCTGAAATCGACACGGAAAGCAGCTGTATCGTCGGTAAACCATCATTCGACATGCGCGAAATGTAGCTAAAACGGACCTTTTGGGCTGTACACATTCTTCCGCTGAACCATATGTTGCACAAACAATAGTTTTCTAATTGTCTTGTCACTAATTCGCCGGCAACAGTCTATATGAGACAACGCTCGTCGAAGACCTGGAGACGTCCCAGTTTCACTGCTTGCGCAGGCTAAATCTCAACCATGGAGCGGAACCGGTACTATGACCCAATATACACGTCTTTCAAGATTCAAGAATATGCTGCTTTTGTTGCCCTAGGTTTAATAAATCAGCAAACGTGCACTGCCCTCATTAGTCATACTACATTCGGAACCTATATGAATTCCGGCATACGTGAAATCCTTCTTCGATTGTAAATAGCGTGTTCAGTGACTGCATGACCGAGAACACGGCCTTACACTGTGTGCAAAGCGTACGTCAAAGGACCGGATAACTCAGATCAGTTCGTCTAAAAAACTCTTTAAAAAGGACGACCTTGTCCGCATGTTCCAGACCAGCGAGGTTTTCGTTGGAAGCTTTTTGAAAACTTCCTGGTGTTTGTCCATCTCTTCGACTGATTATTACAAGCTTTTGAAAAGCTCTCTGTACTCTATACACCCGTAAGCCTGAAAATTACAGAGATATTAGTAATATACCACTCACAAGGTTGCTGAAAATCCATCGACAGCCCACGACCGGTTTCACCCTTCTTGGGGCTCATCAGGTAGGCGCAGTCCCCGGGTTTCCGTCAACCTTATGTTCTACTTGAAACCAAATTGCACGAAATTAGCGAATATACACTCATTTGCAAACTAATTTGGTTCCTTCGAGAGACTCACCTGGAACCCAGCTGAATCTCTCTCAGTTGCCTGAGCATGTTTCAGTCGCCACGATATTTGAAATATCGCGATACATGTATGTATGTAATGCGCTACCCATAAGGTTGCTGAAAATCCATCGACAGCCCACGACCGGTTTCGTTCTTTTTGGGGCTAATCAGGTAGGCGCAGTCCCCGGGATTCCGTCAACCTTATGTTCTACTTGAAACCAAATTGTACGAAATTAGCGAATATACACTCATCTGCAAACTAATTTGGTTCTTTCGAGAGACTCACTTGGAACCCAGCTGAATCTCTCGCTTATGATGTTCTCAGGCAACTGAATGTGCTGCACCAGGCCGCAGATGAGTGTATATTCGCTAATTTCGTGCAATTTGGTTTCAAGTAGAACATAAGGTTGACGGAATCCCGGGGACTGCGCCTACCTGATTAGCCCCAAAAAGAACGAAACCGGTCGTGGGCTGTCGATGGATTTTCAGCAACCTTATTAGTAGTACATTACAAATATACGTGTATCGCGATATTTCAAATATCGTGGCGACTGAAACATGAGGCGGCCTGGTGCAGCACATTCAGTTGCCTGAGAACAACATAAACGAGAGATTCAGCTGGGTTCCAGGTGAGTCTCTTGAAAGAACCAAATTACAGAGATATTACTTTAGTTCCGGACCATGGGAGGTTCGCGTGCTCGGCAAGCATGGTTATGAGAACACACCGATCAAGAGTCAAATGTACCTTGAACTGGAGAGAGCTCAGCGGGTAAGGGTCGAAATTACTGATTAAAGGGTTCATGGATCAAACCAAACTTCGGCATCTCCACTGCTCCTGCCTAAGTTTGGGCAACATGACAGCACCTCACCCATTATAGGACATCACAGCTAAGCATTCCAAGTGTTCCAGCCGAAAGATTCTTCGCCTTCGTCACCTTACAGAGATTTCTGAAACACTGACTCCAGAGCAGCAAGCGGGATTCTGTACCGGTATGAGTTGCGTTGATCAAATCTCCGCCATAAGTATAAGTGATCCATAATTCCTGGATTTTGAGGCGCACTTGCCTCGGTTGACCGATCTGTTCTCCTTGACACGCTTGCCCAACAAAAAATGTCCCGGAAGTTCGTGAACATAATAAGATCTTTGTATTCGAAGACTTCCAAAGGCTTTCTGGCCTAAAGTGGTGTCCGTCAGAGATGTCCACTTTCCCTATTCCAATTCAACTTCGTGATCCATGAAGTCATGAGACGAACGCTGGAAGGTCCCCGAAACCCTGGTGTTCAAATAGCCTGTGATGAAAATCTTGTCGATCTGGAATTTCAGACGAATCGTTCTCACCTTCGAAGGGGAGTAGAAGTATTCTTGGATGGACCGACCAAAGTCATCCTGTCCTTTGGTATGCACTTTGCACCCAAATTGTAAGCTCGAGCTCCAGAACATGAAGTCACTGAACACGCCACTTATATTCCAGGGAGAGGCACCGGATGGTGTGGAGAGTTTTACACATTTTGGAAGTCATATTAGTTCTGATTTTTGTGTGACAGATGAGGTCAATGCACGAATATGCAAGGCTAGGGTCGCGTTTGCTAATTTGAGACACCTATGATGTCAAAGCGGTGTATCCCTGAACCTCAAGGGACGTGTGTATCAAGCTACAGTGCGGGCTGTTTTGTTGTACGACTGAGGCTTGGCCTATTCGAGAGGCGGAACTGAGACCTCTTCAGGTGTACGAGAATCTATGTTTCAGAACCACAGCTCGTGTGGGTTGATGTCGGCGCATCCGTAACGAGGCAATTAGAAGGCTAGTTTTCGGTTGTACAACGGATACTTTCATTCAAACAATGTGTCCAGCACCATAAGCTGCGTTGGTTGGAAGATGTGTTGCTGAAGGGAATGCTGGTTTCCGTGTCCAACTCAGAGTGACGGAAGCAGATAGGTGGCCAACCTTTGACCTGGCAAACGAGAGGATGAAGATTACGAAATCCTTAAGTGCTGTCGGCGCCACTCGCCTTGCAGCATGGCGACCACGTGTTCCCCATTGCGCCTGGTTGGAGACACTGCAAGATATGTTTGCCAACCGATATCAGTGGTGTTATTGCTGTCAGTTTGTATCTAGCTTGCCTGAATGAGTGTCTGGAGATGTTGGCACCTAGGAAACATTTGTAGCAAATCAGCGCCAATTCACTTCCCATTCCAACTTCACGATAAGGCCTTCGAATAAATCGAAGATGTACGGCAGCGGAGCATTAGTGTTGAACACTGACGTCATGCTGTCGATGTTGATGATGAGCACGTAGTACCACCGTTCTGTCTGA